TTGAGGGGAAATCAGTTAACAAGCATGTGTCCAAATATGGGATTAAACTTGCAAGGCAAGCGAGTTGCTTCCAATAACACTTAGAAAACACTAATTAGTGAGAGGGAAATACTTCGTCAAATGGTTTGAGAATAGTAAAGACAAATGCAACAAGGAAACATTGTTTTTAGTTACAATTTATATTGTTCTATAACAAATGGGGCTGCAGGTGCTTTCCTCAGACAAAATGAATCCTAAATACATTTACCTAAGGTTTCTAGAAATAATACAAATGTGTCTTTAAAAACTCAGACACATGAAGCAGTAGAATCCAATTTGAAAGTCCTCTTGACCTAAGCAGTCTGGTTTCTCTTTGGTAAGTTGCCTGTTTCCGTACTATAAATGAAACAAAATAATTGCTTTGTTAGTAGAGATGAATATATGGAAGATGATTTTTTCTTTTGGGCTTATAAAACTCCAGGAGGGAAAAGATGAAAGCCAAAAGTAGAAAAAAATTCAAAGGAAACAAATTGCAATTTTAGTTTTCTAAATCAGGGGTCGGTGAACATTTTCTGTAAAAGGCCGGATATTTTAGGTTTAGTGAATATGCGGTTGGTCTCTGGCAACTGCTCACCTTTGCTGGTGTAGTGAGAAAGCAGTCATAGACAAGTAAACGAATGGGTGTAACTATGTTCCAAGAAGACTTTATTTGTGGATATTGAAATTTGTATTTCATGTAATTTTCATATCATAAAATGTTATTTTAATTTTTCCAACCATTCAAAAATGTAAAAAAAATTTTACCCACCCTGTGCTAGATCTGAGACAATTATCTCCCCACAAGTTTGTTCTGTTAGAAACTTCTTGGTTGAAAAGCAACATGCTTTCCCTTTAAAGTTTTCATAAATTTATTAAATGATGATGTTTTCCCCCACTGGTGTTTTCCTACTTTTTTCTAGAATGCTCTGTGCTCTCGTAACACTTTCTAACATCTGTTGTCATCATGCATTTATTAAGCACTCACCATGAACTGAAATGCTGGGGACAGACGTCAGAGGAAAAGAAAATATTAGCAATAGAAAGTGGTACAGAAGCTCCTCTATTTATGGAATTTCAACTCGTGCACTTTCAGAGATACAAACAAAAGCATACCCTGGAGCAAAGCCCTCTGGCTCTCTCTTCACCACCAAAATATGCGTCAAGAGGTTCTGGGAGCTTTTAGTTTCTGCCCTTTTTAAAAAGAATTTCTCATTTTTCAGTCTATGGAATATTTGCTGTCTTTCTGCTAGGTGTTGAGGAATTTTGCCAGGAACCCCATCGTATGTGATAACCTCAGAGGACTTGAAAGAAGAAAGTGCTGGTAAGAAGTAGTAGAAGTAAAGGCAAGATAAAAACAGTTTTTTTTTTTTTTTTAAATTGAAATAGGTCAGAAAAACTGTTGTAAGCCCTTTGGCAGGAAGAATGATTTTGAGGACAAAGATCCCATCATACAACCTGAGAGAAGCTCTGTACTTGTGTAATAATAGCAAACATTGATACAGAGCTTCTATGTGCCTGGCTGTGTTTTAAGCGATTACACGATCATATGAGTGTCCTTTTTCACTAATTTAATCACCACAAAAAAAAGTGTTAATCAGCTAATGAGCTCGAGAAATGACTGATGAAACAGTGAAACTTGAATGTGGCTCTGGAATTAGCATCATAGGCCTATTTGTGTTAATTTAAGAGAAGGAAATAAATCTGGTAAGTGTACCCAGTCATGGATGGTTCCATGGGTTTGCAGCTTTTGGCATCTGCCCAACCTTAAAGTAAGAGGCAGAACAGCAATGCTATTTTGGGGTGATATTACGGATGCTAAAGCTGTTGAGGAATTCCCTGTGTTGCTTGTGGGCAGATTACCCATTTCAGAAGATTTTCAGTGTATGAAATGAAACAGGTCGAATGTAGGCAAAGATGTCAGCCAACGCATTTATCAGTAAGGAGGAGAATGAAAAGATCGACTCATACCTCACCCAGGTTGAAATCTTGAGGTTGCAAGCTTCTACCCTGTTCAAGACCTCTGGACATAGGAACAAAGTCATAAATAGCCTTTAGAGCTTAACATGTATTCAACCAAAAAGCATAGTGGACTCTGTCTGTGCTCTGCCCGGAATATCTCAGATCTTTTACCAGTTCTGTGTGCCTGTCCCATTCACCAGCTTCTGTGTAGTTTTGCTTCTAATGACCAACATCTGTGAACACTCTGTGGGGTTCTGGAGCAGTTGCCCTATATTCACAAAGAGCAGGAAGTGCCTGGGAGTTTACATCACCCTGGGGGTGTCCCACAGCCCATGACTGACTGATGTGTGTGAAAATATTGAAGTCCAAATTCTTTGGTGAAGGCGGGACAAAGTTTAGATGTAATTAATACCCCAGACCTTCCCTCAGGACCAGACTGAGACAACTAGGACTTTGCTAGAAATCACACGCTTATTTGGTTTTATTCCCTTCCCTACCCTGTTATGCTCACCCCTTACCCGTTTCTCCTGGGAACAGGTTCTTAATAAATCAATTGCACATCAGTCCTTATCTTAGTATCTGCTTCTGGGGAACTCTACCTAAAGCAAGAAGCACATATATTATTAAGACAGAGAAACATTGCAAGGCTTTACCTTAATCAGCAATGAAATATTGGATGAAATAATGGACTGAATGAATTGATAGAAGCTTTGCACTACTCATGTTGTAGTTAGGGAAACAGGAAAATGATAAAACATTGAAATAATGACTATTACATTTTAGAGTTTGAAGGTCGTATAGTGAGACTGCCCACATAGTGCAGCCTCTCTGGCTGATGGTAATGTAGGTTCAGCTTATATATGGTCAGGGAAGAAGATACTACCACCTCCTCGGACAGTTGCCTTCCTTCCTCCTTCCCTCCCTTTCTTCATTCCTTATTTCCTTCCTTCTACTTTATGGAGGTAAAATTCACATGCCATACAATTCATTCATTTAAAGTGAACAATTCCTTGGTCTTTAACATATTCAAAGTTGGGCAACCACTATTAACATCAATTTCAGAACATTTTCATCACCCTGTAAAGAAAAACTGTACCCTTTAGCTATCACCCCCTCAACTCCTCAACCCCCAAGCTCTGCAGTCCTAGGCAATCCCACATCTACTCTGTGGATTTGCTTATTCTTGACATTTTGTATAAATGAAATAATATAATATTTGGTCCTTTGTGACTGGCTTCTTTCAATTAGCTTACAATTTTCGAAGTTCATCCATGTTGTATCAGTATTTCATTCCTTTTAATGGCCAAGTAATCTTTCATTGTATGGATCGATCATATTTTGTTTATTCATTCATCAGTTGGTGGGAATTTGGTTTGTTTCTACCTTTTGGCCGTTATGAATAATTCTACCGTGAACATGTGTGTACAAGTTTTTGTGGACCTATGTTTTCATTTCTCTTGGCTATATACTAGAAGTAGAATTGCTAGGTCAGATACAGAAAGTTCTTTCTATATTCAGACAAACTCTGAGTCTCCTTAACTTCCACACTTGGTACTTATCCAGCTTTCTGAAGAAATATGGACAAGATTTTCTTATGCATGACATCCCCTCAAATTATTCATCATCTTTATGTACTCCTTCAACTTTCAAAGACTGAGTATCTTCTGTTCTTTCAATCATTCCACTGCAAAAATGGGACTTACAGAAATGCAAACTGATAGCTTTGAGGTTGTTACATTATCTGTTATAATGTAAAAAACAGCTTTCTTTTATTCCAAATCTCAGACTTTCCCATCAACAACAGGGAACAAGTGGCTAAGTTATTTTGCCAAGATAAGAGAAAACAAATTATTTTCTGGGTAAAAAGGCTTTTTGATAGACTCTGCATGGATTTTCCCTTTGGAAATCAAGAGGACTAATGATTTGTGTAGTTTATATATACATTTGTAATTTCTTGACATGTTAATGTGAGAAAAAAGAATTCTGTGCTTCTGAAAAATAAAATTTGATGGAAATCAGTTATCTTAAGAGCTTTAAAAGAAGTCACGTGTAGCATTCTTTTTATTCTTAGTCATGAAGACAATGGGGAGAAAACTTGACAAAACCACAGGAAAATGTAGCAAGTTACTTAGCAGGCTCTGGGTTGTGCTGAACTGGGCCAAATGTTATGGTCATTTCTTCTTCTGTAGCTGTGAATGGGTCTGATCCTTGCTTGTTAGTCATATACTTAGGAATATTTTCCACCTTCTTTTAACATTAAATCCAGAGCTCAGGATGGCTTCTGACATTGTCTCATGCTATCAGCATGACGTTGGACAAGTCACCTGGTCTTTCTGAGTTTCAGTTTCTGCATCGTACTATCACTGCATCAGTGGCTTTCAAACTGTGTTGCACGGGATAACAACCAAAGAATCTTACTAAAAATGTCAATGGTGTGGTGCTACAGGGGATTATGCAAGTAGGCTCTGGAGAGGTCCTCACAATCTATTTTTTTTTAATTTCAAGGCTAAATTTTATTATTTAGAATATCTTTTTTAATTATTATACTTTAAGTTCTAGGGTACATGTGCACAACGTGCAGCCTTGTTACATATGTATACTTGTGTCATGTTGGTGTGCTGCACCCATCAACTCATCAGCACCCATCAACTCGTCATTTACATCAGGTATAACTCCCAATGCCATCCCTCCCCCTACCCCCTCCCCATAATAGGCCCCGGTGTGTGATGTTCCCCTTCCCGAGTCCAAGTGATCTCATTGTTCAGTTCCCACCTATGAGTGAGAACATGCGGTGTTTGGTTTTCTGTTCTTGTGATAGTTTGCTAAGAATGATGGTTTCCAGCTGCATCCATGTCCCTACAAAGGACACGAACTCATCCTTTTTTACGGCTGCATAGTATTCCATGGTGTATATGTGCCACATTTTCTTAATCCAGTCTGTCACTGATGGACATTTGGGTTGATTCCAAGTCTTTGCTATTGTGAATAGTGCCGCAATGAACATACGTGTGCATGTGTCTTCATAGCAGCATGATTTATAATCCTTTGGGTATATACCCAGTACCCACCCAAGTGATGCTGATGCCCATTTTCCTGAAGACCATACCTTCAAAAACACTGACTAGCCATTTCCTTCTGGTCCCTCTTCCTCGTGTTCTGTATTCCACCGAAAGGGAGAAGAAATATTATTATCTTTCCAGGTAATATCTTTTCATCTGTGCTGTGTGCAAGGACACAAAGGAAGACAACTAAAGTTGAAATAATGAAAAAAGTCCCAGTCTGATGCTTAGATTCTGATTTATTGGAATTATTTTGACTGTAACAATTTTAACCAAAAATAGGGTTTCTTAACCTTGGTACTATTGACATTTGGGACCAGATCATTCTTTGCCTTGTGTGTGGGAGGCTATCCTGTGCATTGTAGGAAGTTGAGCAGCATATCTGGCCTCCACCTACTAGATACCAGTAGCAGCTACCCCTCCCTCCAAGTTACAGCAACCAGATATGCCTCCAGATATTGTCAAATGTGCCCTAAGGGGCAAATTTGCCCCTGGCTGAGAACCACCTTCATAAGGCATGGTCCCCAAAGAAAAGAATCAAGAAATTAGGCTTGGAGCAGTTTTCTTCAGTTGGTTCTTATTGCACAGCAAGGCAAAGAAGGCCCTGCTAAACTGTTGGTGCTTGACCTTTATGTACCAAGCATTCCTGGGGGATCTGGAACTCCCTGGCTCATCCTCTCTATTTGCTGGATTAATGAGATACAGACAGTTTAAGTGACTTGGCAGGAAAAGGACATTCTGTTTTATTCTCCTCATTTTATTACACTCCTGACAACAAATTCTTAACATTTGCCTTATATGTTCTGCTCCCTATCATTATCATAAGATAGATTAGTGGGTGAGGGGGGTAGGGAAACCAATATATGTGAAATTGCTTTGAAACCTGCAGACACCAGAGTAATGCCAGGTGTCATCATTCATCCTACTCCTGAGCCTCTGAAGCCAGGAGTTTCTTGAGGTTATAAAAGTGGTTTTTTGGGGGGTGACTAGTCAAGTACTCCAAAGAACTCCAGAGTGGTCAGTTTTGATCACACAAATGGCCAATTTTTACCCAGTCTGTTAGCCTTTTAACAGCACACCATGTTGCGTGGAGACCCACTTGTGTATGACTCTTCAACGATGGGTGGAGACCCAGGGCTCAGTTCTACTCTTCTGCTCTGGAGAACTTTCTCTTTGTTTACTTGGGTGGTGCAAGACCTACTTCACTGAAAGAAAATGTGTTGTTAGTGTGAGAGGCACTGCTAAGTGGAAATTATTAAAGAATGAATTCCTTATGTCTGTGAAAGGTTTCTCCACCTTGGCACTCTAGACATTTGGGACCAGAACATTCTTTGTTGTGAAGGCTGTCCTGTGCAGCGCAGGATGTTTAGCAGCATCTCTGGTCTCCACCCACTGGATGCAAGTGACACCCTTCCCCTGCAGTTGTGGCAGCCAAAGATAGCTTCAGATATTGCCAAGTTTCTTCTCAGTGGCAAAATTTCCCCTGTTGAGAATCACTGGCCTAGGAGGTATGGATGTGACACCAGCAATCTAATGAATGGGTCTGACTTGTCAAAAAGAATCTCTACCTTGAAACATACTGGAATGGCCTGCAAAGAGATTGGGGTCAACTACTATTTACATCGCAACTCCACCATTTATTAGATGTGCAAAACAAGTTAATTACCCTCATAAATAAAATTAAGATAATCATACTTTCCTTCCGGGTTGTTTTGCGGATCCAGATGTTTGCAAAGCATCTAGTTGAGCCTGTGACGTAGGTGCTTAATGAATAGTGGAATTGTTACCATTTCCAACAACAATTCTAGCACCTGCAGTGTTGGCGTTGTCATGGGAATTCTGCAGGGTTTAGACAACTGAAACACTGTGCAACTGTGCAGAAGAAAGGAGATTATGAACAGAGGAATGAAGGCAATAGACTAACATTTGATTATGGATATAAATGAAAAATCATTTCTTAATTCCCAGACGGTTATTTGGAAAGTCATAGCTGGAGAAATTGCGGCCTCTCCTTTTTGCCTAATGACCCTTTAATTGAACATATAAGAAATGTCTCTTTTTAGGTACTTTTTAAGGATACCCTCTCTGGTTGTGTGGCATAGAGTAGAAATTCTTCAGCGAAAATATCAAAATGGCAAAAACAAGATAAGCCAATAATACCAAATAGAACCTACTGTAATGGTCATTCTTTTTTCCTCACCCTTCCTTGCTTGTTTTCTTTCCCTGAATTCTCAGATTATCATATTCTTGACTCCAGTTGATGCATGTATTTATGATATTCTTCGTACTAGGGTTTGAAGCCAAAGACAATGGTACTATGCTGTGCCAGGATGTTCTCCTCTCTCTTCTCCATCTCTCCTATGTGACCACAGCTCCAGGCACCATTTTTGGAAACACCAGGAATTCTTCCTTCACTGCTCTTCAGCCCAGCTGTCTTCAGGCTGGGGTTTGTCTCCCTAAACTTACCTGGAAAAAAGAATGAGGACCTTCATTCTTCCTTATATTTCTTCTATCTCTACATCCCTGGAAGGGTTAACAGGGTGGGAAGAAATTATGGCTGTAGAGCAAAATGATAATTCCTGAAATGGCATATATGTTTACAGTTGTCAGGCTGAGATTTTACCCCCAGTTTGCTGAAATTCTGCCTAATGAGATGTCCTCCCTTAAAAGCACATTCGGTGTATTCATTGCTCCTGTCTGTGAGTATGGGTGAAGTCAGCCTTGTCATTGCCAATGCCAGGGCCCTAGCAGGGCTGGTAGGTTCTTCACTTACAGGAGATTTCAGATGAGGAGGGCCTTAAGCTGCTACTCCAACTCTCCTTTCTGATCCTGGACTTTGATTGCCTTAATTTCATCTCTGTAGCTCTATGAAAAAACTTTAAAAAGAGACAACTCTAAACTGTGTTCAGTCTTCATATAAACTGTGTTCAGTCTGTTTATACAATAGTGTAAATAAAGATTCTAATTAATACAGTTTGGAAAACTGTTAGGCATTGTCTAGTAAAGTTGAAGATATGCATGCCTATGACCCAGCAGTTATATTCCTGGGTTTGTACCCTATAAAAATGCATGCACATATGCACAAGGAGATATGTATAATGATGTTTAAGCAGTGTGGTTTTCAGTAGTCCAAGATTGAAAGGGACATAAATGTCCATCAACAGTTACAAAGATAAATAGTAATAAACACATATAATGAGTACTAGACAGCAATGGGAATGAACAAACAACAGCTACATACAGCAACATGAATGAGCCTTAGAAACAGAATGTTGAGCAAAAGAAGTCAGCTACAATAAACGCATACTTACGAATTTGTTTATATAAAGTTAGGAAACAGGCAACACTAAGCTCTAATATTTATGGATGCCTGACTTCCTAAAAAGCAGTGGATTTCAACCAGGAGTGATTATGCCTTTCCCCACTCCCTGGGGGACATCTGCAATGTCTAGAGTCATCTTTGGTTACCACAATTGGTGTAGGGGGAATAATACTGGCATATAGTGGGTAGAGGCTGGGGGTGATGCGAAACATTCTGCAATGTCAGGCTCTACCACAAAGAATGATTGGTTCCCAAATGTCAAGAGTGTTGGAGTTGAGAAACCCTGCTGGAAAAGGGAAGTGAAGAAGTGAAGTCATGACAGTGTCTACCACTGGGATGGGGGAGGGAAATACAGCCAAGGGACATGGGGGTCTAGGGTACTAGCAATATTCTAATTTTTGACCTCAGTGAAGGTTAGACAGGTGAATGTTTTGTAACAATTCATTAAGCTGCACATTATATGCTATGATTTTTCCATTTCAAAATGTTAAAAATACTCTAGGGCTCTAGAGGCTAGATTAGCAGGGCAATAGGATGGCATAGTGTGGGCACTGGGTTTGGGGGAGGGGTTACCCATCTAAGAGGATCTCATAGTAACTCTGTTAATAATGGTGGGGCTGGGCCTCCAAGAAGGGCCTGTCCTGCCATCTGAAGTGATTTTTAATACTCAGATGGGCCCTCAGCTCTTCCTACACTATGAAGTTGAATTTGCTTTCACAGATTTGGGTAAAGTTTTTCTGAAAAAAGTAATCCCCTTGCATTGGCATTAACTGTGGAAAATTTTAACTCAGCCTATAGGCAGGCAGAATAAATGCAAACAAGGATTTTAATTTAAATGCTCTGGCAGAAAGGGCAGCATTCAGTTCTGGAAATGCTGTAACGTTTAGGGACAGGAAGACGTGGAAATTCCACAGTTAGCAGGGCACATTTTCTCTTAAAGGTGATGCTAGTAGAGTAACTCATACAGATTATTTTTAAGTCCTCTCTGGGGTGAATTATAAATATCTGATAAATTTATTTTTTAAAAAAAGAAAAAAAAACTAAACAAAGAATAACATTAGCCTAGCAGGCTCTTAACCAACAAATTGGATGAACTTCAGCCTCCTCTGAAGTGAGGTTTTATGTGCTTCTTGCTCCTTTTTCTCTCTCTCCATTACCCCCAAAGGATCAAACGTGCATTCTGAAACCACATGCCATGTCAATATACAGTTTAGTTGACTTAGAACAATACCTGTGCATAGTATGCACTTAGAAGTATTTATAAAGTGTGGAATGATAGACAGTGGACACTCAGAAGGACAGTGGGGGTGGATGATGGTAAATTACTTAATGGGCAAAATGTACATTCTTCTGGTGATGGATACCCTAAAAGCTCTGACTTCATCACTACACAGTCTATCCATGTAATGAAATTATACTGCTACCCCATACATTTATACAAATAAAAAAGTTAAATGTAAAATATTATTTGTTGAATCATGACCAAGTGAACAAATAACGTGGGAAGGATACTTGGAAGTACAGGTATGCAAATAAGAAATTTTGATTAGAGTAGTGTTTTAAATATACCCTGAAATATATTTAAATGAAATAATAATGTGTGAAATTCAAATTGTTTAAGATTGAACAGACTTCTTAGAGTTCTGCATGATCTTCTACATCCCTTCTGGAGCTTTGAGCCTTAAACAATTGGACTAAGAATTGAAGGAGGTGGATGATTCATTCCAAGGTGATTTAAGAGTCTTGCAGCATGAACTGATCATTTCTTTAAGTGCTTTGCCCAATCTCACAAAACTCTTCAAACACAGAGAAAAAACAACCCTATTGCACTTGAACATTTTACTCCAACTTAGCTATGACACTTTAGCAATAAATAATGCTAGAAGGCAGAAGTCATTCCTAAAATGTAAGTACACAGTGTGGGGATGATGGAGTATTTTTGGCTTACAAGAATGTCATTTAGTGACTTACTACATTTTTCAAAGAAAGAATACAAACCAAATCTAGGATGACCCAGTTTTAAGAGGTGACTTACTCAGGGGTAATGATCAAAAGGCTATGGTTAAGGTTTTAAAGACCCAGGGATTCACCTTGTGTTGTTTAAATAGATTAATAATTAAATAGTGTTTGTAGGGAAAGGGATTTTTAGCTTCAGGGGCTTAAAGGCAAGTGTGACAGAAGAAAAAGTTCTAAGGCTGGAGTGTTCATCTTTCTGAATAGACCACAGTGAAGTGAAAGTCCCTAAACTGGGGCTTGTCTAGGCCATTGAATTACATCTGTATACACATGCCCCCATCAGGCTGCCCTGGCTGCAGTTCTCTGAAAGATGCCAGATGGTGAAGCTCAAGCTGGTTCTCTGTCTTATTCTAAGGGTCTTTGATGACTTTCCTCTAAAGGTTGCTTTTAGCAGCAGAACAGAGTGAAAGTAGAGGGAACTTCAGTGTGTCATTTTTCCAGCTCTGCCTGGACATGTCGCAGAGCAGGGAAGGCCTCCAAGATGAATGGGCATGCTCATTTCTCTCACAAAGCAGAAGAAAGGAGACTTGGGTAGGTCAGACTGCGGGAGAACGAGAGACTTGGGCAAATAGTGCGGGAGAATGAGAGACTTGGGCAAATAGTTCAATTGACTTTCTCATAAGACAGGCAACACTGGAAGTTCCTGGGTTTGGCAAGGGATTGATTTTAAATTTATTTTTATTTTTTATGTTTGCAGTATAAAATACACATAGTGAAGGGTGTAAATTATACTAGTCTGAACTGTACTGCTCAGTGAAAGTTTACATATGGGTGTACTCCAGTAGCTGCCATACAGATCAAGATATAGATCATTTCCAGCACCCTAGAAAGTTCCCTTGTACCACCTTCCTAGTCAATACCACCTTCCCCCTTTGGTAACCACTATTATGACACCTATCACCATGGATTCCATTTGCCTATTGTACTTAAACATTTGAATTTCAGTTGCAGAATAAATAAGTGAAATCTTACAGTATGTACACTTGTGTCTGGTTTCTTTTTCCCAACATAATGTTTGTGAGGTTAATTCATTTGTTCCGTGCATCAGTAGCATTTTCCTTTTTATTGCGGAGTAGTATTCCATCATGTGCACAGACTATAGTTGGTTTGTCATGCACCAGTTGGTGTACATTTGGATCGCTTTTATTTGGGGCAATTATGCCTCAAGACAGTATGAACATTCTTGTATATGATGAGATTATTGTACTCTATATATCTAGGGGTGGAATTTGCTGGATCAGAGGATAGGCCTATGATTGAGTTTAGCAGATATAACCATACAGTTTTCCAAGTGGATAAACCATCATGGGACTATCTAATGGTAGATTCCTCAGGTCACTTGCACCTCTGGCTTCACATTCCCACTGCTAATTACAATTATGCTGCGAATTGTTTTAAAATGTTACATGGTTCATTCAACTAAATTGTAAGGGCTGAAATTCAGGGGCCACATCCAACTTTCCTCCCTCCTCCTCTTACACAGAGCAAGTGGAGAGTCATTCAGCTGGTTCAGTACAGTGGGACCCTGACAAATTGGCACAAGCTACCCCCAAACACATCTTCCACTTCGTAGCCACCCCTCTGGGGCTTGCATTGATTGATTTCATGAATCTGGAGTCTCTACTCTGGCCCCAGGCCTGGCTTTTGTCTGGGTTCAACTTGTGGGAGGCTGGACGTAAATTACAGAATGACAAGGCTGTGGAGGGAACTCTGTGATCTTCTCCAAGGTGTTTTAAAGTACAGGTTTCCATGAGGCAATTTCAGAGCAGAGACCAGTTTTAAGGGTTATTATGAACCTACAGGATGTGTCCTGCAAACCCCTCCTGGAACTCGGTTAGCCCTAGGTGACCAGCATCCCGCACAGCCTTGTCCCCTCAGCAGTTCCCCTGGGTAGCATGACTTGGTTCCTGTCAGTCCTGCCCTCTCCAAGGGTCCCCGCATTTGAGACTGTAACAGAAGAAGGCTTTCTAGAAAGGGAAACTCTGCCCTCCCAGGAGAAGGCTCTGAATCTCCTTCCACTGTCAGGCCCACACCTCCTTCAAAGTTAGTGAAAGTCTCTCTTTCTTGGAAACCCAAGTTCTCCCTCTCACTGGCATTGAAGGGTTTGGCAGTCCCCGCCTCAGCAGCCGGGGTCCCACGGGTCCGGGGAGGGTAGGGTAGCAGGAGGCAGGCGTGCCGGCCGGCCTGACACCTGTCGTGGGCGCGTTCGGCCTCCGCAACCCCCCAACAGCTGTCAGCGGTGGCTGCCGCAGGGACCAGCCAGGAGCGGAAGGAATTAAACGCCCGCCCATCGCATCAGACTCGGCCGCTCCCTCCTCCTCCTCCTCTTCCCCCTCCCACTTTGCGCCGCCTTCTCCAGGTCCCCACCGGCTCTGCGGCGGGACGCTGTGTCAGGGGCGCTTTGCATAGCACTCGGCACGCACGGAGCAGGGCTCTCGCCCCGGGGCTGCCCCGGGATGGCAGTGAAGTACGGGGAACTCAGAGAGACACCGTGACCCCAGACTGAGCCCAAGGCGCGCCACTCCTCCCGGAGGCAACATGGGGCACCCGGTGTACCGCGGCGAGAAGCCCCAGCTGCACTACGCGGTGAGTGTCCTGACGCATGCAGAGGACACAGGGGGCGCCACTGGGCCGCCCCAGGTGGGGACTGCGAGGGGCGATGGTAGTCGGGGCTCCCCGCAGGTCCACGCAGGTCCACAGCTGAGGGGGTGGCGGGTGGTCGGGTACGTCACCCCGAAGTGCCACCTGCTCACTCAGTGGCGCTTCCTGAAATCTTTTAGAAGGTATGGGGGAGCCCCAACCCTGGATTCAGTGTTTCTTTGCCCCAACGCTGTGGTCACTGCATCCGGGACCGGGACTGGACTCTGCCACCGCCCCGCTGACAAAGGCTGACAAATGGGGTTCCTGGGGTTAGGCCTAGGTCGCTCATTCAGCCTTCAGTCAGATATGTTGAAAGGACGAGAATAAGACTGGACAGGAGGCAGGGCTGCTTCATGATCTCAGTGTGTGGCGAGTGGACTTGCAAAAGAAATGCTGCCGGGAGCATTGGGGTGCAGCCGTTTCACTCCTTGGAAAGGGAGTGCATTTCCCTCTTATTTTGTGACGGGACAGAATGTTGCACATTATCATTAATGTTGCACGCTAATACAAGAAAATACCAGGGGCTGTTCTGTCATACCTTCCCCCTCCCTTATGGTGTCTTCTGTTCTCCCTGTTGATACAAAGATTTACTGGGGACCTACTGTGTGCCAGGGACTGCGCTAGGTGCTGCAGGTACTGCAGGAAATACAACAGAGAGAAAACTCATGGGATTTGCCTTCTTTGAAGAAGGAGTCAAGATTTCAAGGTTAACGACCGACAAATCCAGATACTAGATTGAGTATATTTTTGAGAGAGAGAAAAGAAAGGAAAGAAGGAAAAAAGGAAAGTTGTTTCCGAGGAATGACTACTACTTCTAAAAATTTGAAATGCCCCCTCCAGGAAGGGGGCAGAGAGAAGGTTTACCTTACTCCAGTCTTCAGACATTGATTTTCCACTTGTGAGATGTGTCGTTTTGAGATGAGACACTGCAGTTGTTCTGTCATCTGCTAATTTACTGAGTTTTCCTTGAATTGATTTGCACTGTTGAGACTGGACGTTCTGACTGCCAACTTTAAAAATTGGAGAGAAGCAGGCAGAAAGTTGACAAGAATCATTAATATTTATAATAAGGCAAAGACAGTTAACTGTCTGGAATTTGTGTCTTCCAAAATCCAGTCCCCAACATAAAAAAAAAAGAAAATGGTTTTTTTTTTGTTTTTGTTTTGTTTTTTTTGAAAAAAGGAGTCAAGGTGGACAGGGGTGGTGGACTTGGGCATCCCGGAGCTGCTCCAGTTGGTTCCTGGTGTCGCTTGGGGGCTCCTGGATTAATTGCAGGGTCATTGGGCAAATTGCATACCTCGTACACTTCACTTTCCTCCACTGGAAAAATGAAGGCCTGAATTAGGAAATTGTTAAGATACCTTCCCAGGCAAACGTTCCAGGAACCTGTGATAGCTCTTTCTCTGGTTTTTCTATAGTTACTTGCCTTGAAACACCAAATGAGATACTTGTAAGTTACTAATGCTCGTTCTTATGTCTTGGAGACACTAGTGGCTCAGTGGTGATTTGCCTTTTAAAGTGGTTTAAAGGATAACCACTTTTCAACAGAGATTGCTTTGCACTGAAAGAGGTAGAGTCTGTGCTCATTGTGCCCATTCAACATCTCCACCCCACTACCTTTTCCAGATTTTGAACTGTGTGTTGGTACCCTTTGATTCATGATCTGAGGTCTTTTCCATTTACAAGAGTGGGGGTGGGGGAGGAAAGGTGAGAATGGGCTCCTTAAATTTAAAACAATCTATTCATTCAATGAATGGTTATTGCCTCAATTATGTAAATGTATTACAAAAATATTTTAAAATTATGATTTTAATTCAGCTGTCTCATTCTTCTAAAATCATAAACTGAAGAGTCACGCCGATGCTAATGTCCCCTTTGGGGCTCTGAAGACTGCTGATGAATTAGCCCTTTATTCCAGTGCAGATTATCATGTATGTATATTCTGATTTAAGACTATAAAAAGGAAGATTCCAGAGGGAATTTATTGGGATTCCAGGTTGGAATAAGTCACCCGGGCTCTCTGAAGTTTCCTATGCATACTTTAGGATGATAAAGCAGCAGCTCTGAATCAGTCACGTGTCCAGAGAATGTTCTTTATTAAGTGTGACCCATTGTTTTTCATATTAGTATAACCCTTGGTGGTATAATATCTATTCTAACGCTGCACTTTTGTTTACTTCCCTCATTTGGGTTTTGACAATTCCAGAGCTTGTTTTGCCTTTTAGCACAAATATTCCACTTGCTTTGCTCAACATGGTTTTGTCCCACTGTGCATTTTCCTGTGATCTTGGGTTTCTTGGGGTCTGTCTTCCTTGACATGAATGACCCTCCATGTGTCCCTAATACCTCCTGCCTCCTCTGAAATATAATTCAGGAATAAGTATCTAATGGTCCCTTCAGTGCTTTTTAATTTGTCCAAGGTGAGACTGCATATAAGAGGTCAGTGGCTCACATTTGATTCATTCAATAAACATTTGTTGAATGCCTATCGTATTCCAGGTATTTGGTCAATTTTCCAAAGAGACAATTAGATAGTGAAAATGTTAGGAGTTGCTACGGATATCTCACTCATCTTTTTAAATGGTCATAATGGTCACAGAAAGCAAAATGCAATTAACTAGACAAGAACATCCTCCATTTATATAATCAGACATTTTCAAAGTATAGTACAGCTGTCTTCTTGCTTTATCATCACACACAGAAAAAATGTGTGTTAGCAGCTAATGTTCTCCTCAAAAAATTTCCTCCCACAGTTTTCCCACATTCAGGTTATGGTGACTCCGTCCTTCCAGCTGGGTGTTGTCCTTGATGCCTTTTGGTGACTGAATCAGATTTACATTTTCAGAAGCCTGCCATGATCCCAGCATGGAGTCAGGATGAGGAGGAGCTAGAGTGCATCCTGGTATTTGGGCCTGGGAGAGATTCGAGAAGATGACTGATGCTAGGGTGGCACCTGGGCAGGAGGTTGAGAGCAGTTGGTGTATTGGAGAGATGCTTAGAACATAGAACCCATCAGACTTAATTTGGATGGGATAAAGAGGTGATAGAGTATGAAGGATGAGGATGACATGAATGAATCAATGACTTTCTGGCAGCACTTCTAGAGAAGCTCTAGAAGTTTATATAATAATCAAATAATCATAATAATATTTCCCTCGTTATTGTCTTATACAGATTGCAAAATATCTGAACACAGTCTAGGTCAATTTCAGTCTCGAATCCAATTGCTGCCTTATGCAGGTTTTCTATTTCCTGATTGAAGAAATCTAAGCTCAGAGCAGTAGAATTCAAGGCAGCACATGTGTCGCTGCTGACAGAACTGAAAGCTTTAACCAGGTGCCCTGATCCTGTAGTGCTTTTCTGAGTCATTTAGACAATCAGGATAGTCAAACCTAATCATCCCTCTGCAATCCACTGTGCCACAGTAATAAACCAACAACCAAATGTTGGACCTTCAGTGACTTCATGTGACTATCTATATTGTCAAATTGCCATGGCCAAATAGCTCTTTAATTTGACTAGTGTAGACAAAAACTAAAAATTTAAGTATCCATTAAGTTCAATGCCATATCTTTATGTCTTTCTGAAAGACATTAAAAAAAATCTGGATTAAAAGCTTGGCCTGGTGACTTACTGGGGACCTTAGAAGGCTCAAGCTTTTCTCTCCTGGTGCCCCAACCTGTCTTAACCCTCAAGTGGGGCAGAGAGAAGCAAATCAATGTCCATTATACAGTCACCATCAGGAATCCCTGGACTGACATCATTCACTTCTCTCTCACTGGCAGGTTGAAAACTTGCTGGGAGTAGTACTATGTGTGTCTTGTTCCTGCTGTCACCTGGGCACCTAGCAGAGTGCTGAAAGCACAGTAGGTGCTCAGTAGATATGTGTTGAATGACTTCATGAATCTAGTAGTTGAGAGCTAGTTTTTGAGGTCCTAAGCTGCTCATTCTCCTCCCTTGTACTGGTCTAGTCTGAGCTCCTCTGCTGCTGATGTCACTTCCTGTTTGGTGTGGGTCACCACACCATCTGTGCTTTTGACCGCAGCCTTGTAATCAGATGCTGACTGTGCCCTTGCTCCAGTTAACCCCTTCCTAAGGAACTCACCAGAAGTGCCAAGCTGCTTACCCTGACAGAGAACCTGTTTTCACATAGAATGGTTAAGGTCTTATTATGAAAGTTTCCAAGTTTGTTTTCTGTGAACATTCAATTTTCAAAGACTTTGAAGTCATTAAGTTTGCTTAATAATTGAGTGGTATTGAATACTCTAGTAATTCTGAAGATGCCCAGAACTGGGCGCCGTTGCAGGCTTGTGCTGATATGAATCAGTTATCATCCATCAGTGCTAACAGTGTAGACATCTTAGGAAACTCAGCAGAACTTATACTGACCTGTGGCATGGCCCAGAACTTACTTTTATAAAACCATTTTTATATCACTCTGCTTGTCATTTGTCTCCTCATAAAAGCAAAATTTTTTCAACTTACAAATAAGTGAGAGATTATTTAATCCTCTGAATTAACACCTCTACTAATCGTAGATACCTTTTCTACTCCCACCCCCAACCTAGCATGCTTACTTTTCTACTGCATGCAGACATTTTCCTGGATGAGGCCTCTTTGGTGTGGAAGCCCCATCATCTTAGGAAGCTACATCTCCCCTCCTTCAAACCACTCATGAAGTACCACTACTAATTGATAAAGAATCATATTCCTGTTGGATGTTGCACACCAGACATATCTGCCAATCATTTGAAAACAATTACCACTCTTTGCCTGGTCCTTTCTGGTGATGAACTTTTATTATTTACTTTTCCTGTTCCCACACTGTGATAACCCTGGACCACACACACTTGACTCTCAACTTGGTTGTGAAGTTATTGTCCAGTCATACAAAGTCTTCACTGGGTTCTTGATTCCTCACTTCCCTGTCACCTGTTTCATTCTCA